AAATTGGCCAACACGATGTGCGAACAAGTAATTCTTCTGTAATAGTAAAGGAGACTATGTTGAAAGAAACGCGATGATGGTCTTGGGACGATATCAGTGCGATTATGATCGGAGCTCAAAAATAAGCGCTATGAGGCATGTTCAATGTTATCTCTAAATAAATAAATAAATATATATATATTTTTTTTATAGAATTTGACACGTACGTTCTAGGGGGACTATTGAAAAACGACGATCGGTCAGCGCTAAAAAAGGGGGATAAAATCCCTAGCAATAACTAATAACGTATTCACCTCTTGGCCTCTTTCTGTCATTTGCAACAGCGCTTCTCCGATAGGTAGATTCAAGCAAGCACCTCCACTTGACAGCCATGAGTTCATCTTATCCACTATGGATTGTTTTTCTGCGTAGCTAATTTCAGACCATCTTTCCCACATATCTCGGCACAGTTGGTCGAGAGCAAAATCTTGTCCTTCAATGTTATATCATAGATTCATTCTCTAAAGACTAAGAACCACTCTCAAAATACTAGAATACCTTCGACAAGCTTTGCGATTAGCGAATGAGGTGCAGGTATCACAGCAAATCGGAGATAATGCAACCAATTACTTGAGGATTTATGATGAAGACACTCCACGTACGCTCGTAGAATCAAAAAAAGGACTATCATACAAAGCGAATTACAAGCAAAATTTCAAAGCGTAGATGATTTGTTTTCGATACCTGGCCGATAAATCTATCACCTCCAATGACTCCAACCCAGGTCATGGGGGGATTCGATGAGTTGGAATTGCAGCTTAATCAAGAGACATAAGATAAAAACAAAACTTTTGGCTAAACTCACAAGCTCAGGATTTTATTCACAATCTGTCCGATAGCTTGCTTGACAGCATTTGCAGATGGACAATTGACGGTAACAACAGAGATGGTGGACAGATGAGGTAAATCTGAGTAAGAGCATAACCAGCATCCAGATGAAGCAGCAGGATAGGCAGAAAGGAGCGATGTCAGCTGAATAAAGATGTTTGTGAGATGAAGTAAATATATTCGAATTTTCTAAAAGATAAAAAACGATAAAAGGGCGATTTCAAAATACAAATAAACCAATTGGAATTTGAAACAAAAGATGAATGCGTTAACTTTAGACAACAACAAAAAAACAGAGACCCTCCTTTCATTTTGTTATGAGTACCTGCTCAGTGACACTAGCGATCTTCTCCACAGGTGCCATTCCTCGATCCTTCTCTACTTTTTTGGAGATTGACCCTGTAGTCAATGAATGTGAGATTCCTCCAAGAGATGTGCTTTGCACCAGTGGAGCGCTACTCGTTGATCCAACTCTCAGCGATTTCGTGCCGCTCTACATGAAAAGAAATTTTGAACTGATTTTTGAAACCAGGAAGTTAAGGTTATGTTCTTACAGCTGTTGACGCGACGGTA